ATAATGAAATCGCTCTCAATATTCATATTAAGTTAATACCTATATACATATATTCCAATAATTAATAATAATTCTTTACTTCTCACCATAATCAGTTTCTTATTCCATTAAAAACACTAAGTAAAAAGGTCACTTATCTAATTATGGCGGGCTGACAGCTAAACTAGGAAAGAACCCGTGTCTCAGGTTATCAGCCCTCCAGTCTTTAAATGTAATATAATACAACACAGTTTACCGAATTGGTACTTTATTTTTCATCTCTCGAACAGCCTAAATCTTTGTAAGTTGTAGATAGTACATCACTGATAATGTTGTAGGTACAATCGATACACAGACAAATACGGAGCTGTCTTATCGATTAAATTAATATAAGTAGCTCTTCTTTATTCCAAATTGTTGGCCATGACTAGGTCTGCATAGTTATACGTACGATTAAATAAAATTTCCCATACAAAATTCCACCGCCTTTTCATCCCATGAAATCGGTTCAGCGGTTTAAGCGTGAGGAGGTAACAGACAGACACAAACTTTCGCATTAATAATTTATCGATAGTATATCTATAGATACTAGTCAGAGCTTCAAAGGTGATAATACCTCTTTGTCCTTAGACCTCAAATAATCCAAAGAAATACTTAGTTATCTTTTTTATTTAGAGTCATTGGCAATCATGGACTTTTAATATTAGATCATATTTATACAAGAAGCTTTTAGGGTTCTACCCAAAGGGTAAAAACGGAAGATTATTGCTGCCACTCTGTTGTCTGTCTGCCTTTCAGTATGTCACGAGTTCCTTTTTTTATGTATTTCGTGAACGGAATTACAGAACTTGAGTTACAGAACTGAAATTTTGGTATTTTGTGTAGACTTCATGCCCTAATATTTAGTAAAAATTTCAAATAAATTATTTTTAATGTGGCTCGATTCGAGAAGCTCATTGGCGCAAGTGGTAAACGCGTTCGGCTGAGGTCGTTGAAGTTAAGCAACTTTCGCAGTGGTCGGTCATTGGATGGGTGACCAAAATTTACTATTTCGAGCTTCTCCGTCCTTCAGAAGACACGTTTAGCCGTTTGTCCCGCCTCCATCTGCAGTAGTTGACACCCACCAATACGCATAGGGCCCGCGTGGTGGGTCATGGCCCAAACTACCAATTCCATCCACAGGGAAGGCTTGTGCCCCAGCAGTGGGGACATTATTAGGCTGATGATGATGATGATAATTTTTAATGAAATAAAATCCCATACATGGAAAGAAGCAGTTTTTTTTATGCTAGCATCTGACACATCACTGTCTAGAGCTTATTTTTATTATTTTTTATTTTCAATAACAATGAAATGGGGGGCCGTCAAAGTTGACATTTCTAGACCATTTTTGTTATATATTATGGGTCTATCTCAAAATCGAAACTTGTTAAGAATGCAAAATCTTAATATATATAAATCTCGTGTCACAATGTTTGTCCTCAATGGACTCCTAAACCACTTAACCGATTATAATAAAATTCGCACACCATGTGCAGTTCGATCCAACTTGAGAGATAGGATAGTTTAAATCTCAAATTATAGTCGCAATTTTAATTTATTGAAAATTATTACTTTTGGGCGGTACGAAGTTCGCCGAGTCAGCTAGTCTATATATATAAAACTCAAAGGTGACTGAATGACATAGTGATCTATCAACGCACAGCCCAAACCACTAGACGGATCGGGCTGAAATTTGGCATGCAGGTAGATGTTATGACGTAGGCATCCGCTAAGAAAAGATTTTGATCAATTCTACCCCGAAGCGAAGCGAGGGCGGGCCACTAGTTTTGATATATGATGTACCATAATTATTCTGCACTTAAACAAGAAATACTCAAAACGCATATTCATAATACGCTTTGTAAGTTGTGACGAAAACAAACAAATGATTTTACGGAACCCCAACAGAGTGATGCCAGTCTCGCGATTGGCCATTTTTTTATAAGGTTAAATAAGGGTGAAAAGCATACCCATAAATAGAACGGTTTGTTTTTTACCCCTATCCGTACTTATTTGGAGTTTATGACGAAGTCTTTACTCTAACTACACCTTTGAAACACTGCCAATCCCGAAAGGGATACATAGCGTGGAGGTACCGTACCTACATAAGATATAAAAATATATGAGGAAGCCGATACTTTTACTATTATAAACGGAAATCGATGGTGAGGGGCAACCGGCGCGGTCAATTGTATCAATAAACTGAGATTGCAGTAAAAGCTTCCTTAAACCGCGTGCAATAAAGTTCGTTTTGATTTCAAGGGCTAGGAGAGTCCAATCGTGCTCTCGAAAATTCAATACAAACGCATGCACTCTTTGTGCATTTCATGGCTAGAATGCAAGGTGATAAAATATACACCTATTATAATTATTCCAAAAATAATAACAATTGCATCTGCCTTTTGTGGGAGTACTATTTTTTTTGTTTAATGTTAAAGGGTGGCACACAACTGTAGCGGCTACCATAGCCTTTATATAGACTGACGCTTGCGATACCAAAAATACTACTTGCACCGTTGCACAGTTCAAGCGGGAAATTCACTGTACCCTTCCTTTTTTGTTTTATAGCATACTAGCTGTGCCCCGCTGTGATACCTGCGGATTATAATTTATATTTTCCCGCAGTAAAACGTAGCCTATGTGTTTATCTTGGATGGCAGCTAACTCCCTACCAAATTTTATTAAATTCGCTCCAGCCGTTTAGACGTGAAGAAGTAACAAACATACACACTCATACACAAACTTTCACCTTTATAATATTAGTGAAAATGAAAACTTTTGATATACATGCGGAATTATAGTTAGCCAGTGGTCAATATACAAAGACCGCTCTTGCAGTCAGAGTCAACAGCTTGAAGCTGCCATTTAACCGCGCTGCCAACCGCAAAAAGCAGTCGCAACTCCTCTGGCGGTTCTGTGTATGTGTGCTCTTAGTTAGAAGACTGTAGGTCACTATGCTGTCGCAGCATGAAGTCATAGCAGCAACACGGCTGACGCGGCCAGGTTGGTAGGAGTTGGCATGCACAGCTTTCCCCTCTGTCGAATTGGGCATACAAACGATACATGTGTGCAGGTTTTGGTTTAGGACATGACGCAATACCTGTGTATTGCCCATTGTTCATGTGTGAGTGTTGCAATTGCAGTTTTGATTTTTACGCATGAACCTTAAACTGTATTTGCGTGTATATTCGCCCCGAAAAAATAGCAAAAAGATTTCAATAGTAATATGTCGCTATGGTTACTTCCTTGTGTGGCTCTATGACCACATTCATTAAGTTAATTGAACTTAATGCAGTGAAAATGACGTGTTCTCTTTTCTACAATTGCTATCACATAAAACTGCTTCGAATTTAATAATATTTAATATGTTATTCACTGTGGCAATAAGTGTGGTTAGGTAAAATTACAATGAAAATTTTGATACACCTTCTCTGATAATTGTTTTGCTAAATTATTGCGGCTGTTGTAAGATCTAATTGAAATTAGTCTTAGATTGTTTACGATAAAATGTGCTAAGGATTTAATTAATGTAGATATTATTTATAGTAACGGTGTAACTAGCACAGGAGTAATTAAGGTTGAAACCATTAACCTTGGACACTATAAAGACATTATTAACTAAACTAAATCTTGCCCGACATCTATTTATTAATATTTAGATTTCCATACATAAAAGCTCTCTCAGTCTGTACGTGCGTCTGTCAACGAACTGAAGCTGCCTTAGCTGGTAGATAATAGGAATTTACACATTAAATGTAATAGTATTTATTATATACAACAATTATACAATAGGAACCTATTGTTAGTCAAAAAAATAAGCAAACAATTTTTCCTCGTAATTCAATTAAGATTTCTCGCTGAATACGAAAACAATTTCTGCAAGTGTCTATCTTAGATGCCGTTGTAGGAGGTTACGGAACCATACGTGCGACAGTCTGAATTGCGCTTGTTGGTTTTTTTATACTTGACCTTGGATTAAATCAATTATGATTAAAGACCGGCACAAAAGCGTGTATTTTTTTATTATTAATATTTTGTTATACTTACACTAGAAATAAACACCACACGGTAAAAATAATGTTGAATTGAATTCATATTCTGTATGAAAATTTCAAGTACGTATGTATGTACCTAATACCGTTCATTAGATATACCTCCCTGAAAGACCAACGGATAGCCAGAACACGGAGACTTAGTAAAAAGGATCCAATCTCAACATTTGGGTACGAAACCCTACTATTTTGAACCTAATTTTAAACATAATAATGAAATATACCAAAGGTTATGCTTAGTATAATTTGCTTTAAATGTGGAAAGAACTCGACGCCCTAAAAGCCATCCAGGGATAACCTTTAATATCGTGTGTAGTTCTCCACGCAAAGCCAATTGCCATTAGTACAAATTCGTGACCTTTCCTGTACGAAAACATCCGTATTTTTTTTTGAGAAAAAGAGGTCTCTGTTATCTTTCCGTAGCCAAACTATGCTGTATAAGAAACAAATAATATATCAAAGTAAAAATCTAAGGGCTACATGTTAATTTCTTATGTTCTCACACACAGAAATTAATTATTAAAGAAAACCCTATTTAAACGAGTTTGAACTAAGAACCGAAACGACCTGCAAAGCATCCGAAACGTCGTATATAAAAATATGAAAAAAGCACAGATTAAGCTCGTTGGAAAAGAGTTTTAATCGAGGGAATGCTCTCGACTATTGCTTAGAAAATTATATCGGTTTACACTGATATATTTTTATGGTAATAATAGGTATTATTATTTGTTTGTAACTCACTCCACCATTCCGCTATTCTTCATATAAAACTGACCACTAAATCACTAGAACGCAAAATTAACTGAATTGAAACAGATAACAAATAAATAATATTCATTAAATATTTTACTAGATGACTATCAAAGCTGAAAATAAATTTCCATATCGTTTCAACAACTATAAACTATTCAAATCAGGAACACTTACCAAAAATGGGAAAGTCCAAAACACAAACACTATATGCTCGGAAAAGTTGGGTACACAAACGGCGTGGGGTAAAACACGACCCTCTGTTCGGGCGCCTGATGACAACTGAAGCAACCTCCCTCGGCGGGGCGTAGAATCCACAAAATAGTGGGGAGGTGACGTTGTCCCCTGTTAAATTGAGCCAAATGATGAGGATTCACTAGTTTTCAGGAATTCGATAGTCTTGGGAGATTTCGGTTGCTGCGGTATAACTTTCAAAGAGATGAGATGTTCTTGGGTTACTGAGAACTGTTATGCGTGTTTATTCTGTGTAGTTATTAACATTTATCTTAGTAAAGTATTGATGGTAATAATTAAATTAATTTAAAGTAAGTAAATAAAGGTACGCCGCTAAGTGAAATCAGTTTTCGTGTAACTTTTAACCGTTAACTTAAAATTTTAAATATAAAGAGAAACTGTATTAGAAACACTGGTTTTTACGTAGAAAATATTCTATGTTAATAAAACGACAAAGAAAATAGTTACAATACACCTCATTTTGGAATTTGTCATCAAACGATGTTTAATTCAATTAGATTTCCGGGTACGATCTAAACTCACATAAAATTATTTGTTTTTGTATTATCAATATCTGAATAATATAGTCAATAATTTAATAGTCTTTTAAGACTATACGACAATAAATTGAATAAACCTCGTAACATCGGCTTGATGGATTAAACCAATTAATTGATTAAATTCACGAAGGAAACTCAATACAAAATTACAAGATACCAATATCCCATAAGCATAATGAAATAATATAAAAGTTTCGTAGCGTAGACACATTTCCATTGTTCTGAGTCTTATTAAGGGGTAGGAGCGACTATTTTTGTATTAACGTAATAGACACGGGGTTTATTATTTGATAGCATTAGAGTGTGGACAGGTGCGAAGATTATGAGTCATCCTTTTGATGACTGCGGGGTGAAGTATGGTTATCCAGTGAATGGTAGTTTCTGAGGATAACTTATTACGTAGAGTGCTTGAAAGAAGGATCAAATATATTATTCTTGGAACACTTTTATGGATTTCAACGTAAGTAAATTTTTGCACGACAAAATTTGGCTAAACGATTTTAATTAAAATATAATATAATATTAAAATTATTGAGGAGCTCGATGGCGCAGGTGGATATAATATAAGAATAGAAGAGGGATAAAATATAAGAATTAAACTCTAAGTTGTACTTTTATTAATGTCTCCACCACGTGGGCCCAGTGCGGATTGGTGGGTGTTAACGACTGCAGATACAGCCGGGACCAACGACGTATCGTACCTTCCGAAGTACAGAGGAACTCGAGATAGTAAAGTTTTGGTCACCCATCCAATGACAGACCACTGCAAAAATTGCTTAACATAAACAATCGCAGCCGAAAGCGCTAACAACATGCGCCATCAACCTCCTCGGGTATGTTATGTAACCTGAAATAATATACTTCATCGTCATGATAAGTTTGCTAACAGCTTTGCAGGCTAAGAAATACTAAAAAAAATGGTTGCCTGTAAAGTCGGTTTTACGGGCGAAGATTTTACGTGACAACGTCTTTTTCTCGGTAGAATATTTATTGATATGAATATAATTAAATTGCACAATAGGAACAAGGAATTGAATGAAAATAAGAATTGCACAAATTTTAACTATAGAAATATATTTTGTTTACTAAAACATTGTACATGTAAACTTAAACTTAACACGAGAGACTCATCGTAACGTTACCGAGCGTTACACTTTTTCATAAGTGACTCCCAGCCGCAACCTAATTTAAGACGTTGTCACGTCAAAAAATCGACAAGGCCATTAGGGCCGCAGTAACATAATGGTAAGGGTATCCGCTCGGATAGCGGAAGGTGCGGGTTTAAGTTACGTCTGCTGACAGGACCGCGTAGATTTTTTGACGTGACAACGTCTTAAATTAGGTTGCGGCTGGGAGTCACTTATGAAAAAGTGTAACGCTCGGTAACGTTACGATGAGTTTAAGTTTACATGTACAATGTTTTAGTAAACAAAATATATTTCTATAGTTAAAATTTGTGCAATTCTTATTTTCATTCAATTCCTTGTTCCTATTGTGCAATTTAATTATATTCATATCAATAAATATTCTACCGAGAAAAAGACGTTGTCACGTAAAATCTTCGCCCGTAAAACCGACTTTACAGGCAACCATTTTTTTTAATAAAAAAAAATAATAAAAATTTCTTTCGAGTTAAACATCTATTAGTTAAATGCTTAAAATATAAGTTTGAAAATGTTTAATATGAACACAGAATCACTTTAAACGAATTTTATCTCGAGTGCAAATTGGTGTATGCTAATGAAAGCATATTATTTATGTATCTGTTAAAATATGGAAACACCTAAAGATTTTATCTTTTATCTATTCTTATGCCTGAAGCAGTATCTTTCCTGTTAAAATTCTCTTTTGTTATAAAATTTAGCAGTTTAATAACAATAAATGATGAGGAGCTCGATGGCGCAGAGGAGCTCGATGGCGCAACTGGTTAGCGCGTCCGGCTGCGATCGTTGAAGTTAAGCAACTTTCGCAGTGGTCGGTCATTGGATGGGTGACCAAAAATTTACTATCTCGAGCTCCTCCGTGCTTCGGAAGGCACGTTAAGCCGTTGGTCCCGGTTACATCTGCAGTCGTTAGCACCCACCAATCCGCACTGGGCCCGCGTGGTGGGTCACGGCCCAATCTCCCTATTCCATCCATAGGGAAGGCCTGTGCCCCAGCAGTGGGGACATTAATAGGCTGATGATGATGATGATGATGATCTTATGTTTAAAGAAGGCTTATCCTCTGTAAATCCTAATTGATACCTATTTCCAAAAGCTTAAGATTTACTTACTACCTATCAAAGATAAATATTTTACGATCATTATTCGTTTTAAATTTCTAAGTTTATCTTACGTTTCGATTAGGGTGAAATTATAATTAGTTTTTTTTTTAAATTTGTAATTAAGTTTTTATGGTCCACACTCTAAGTGTAACTTGAAATTCTGCAAAAACCTGCCCTTAAAAGAAACCTTTATAATTAGGTACCTACCTATCATTGTAAAGCTTTTTGTTTAAAACAAACCGTGTTTACCTGCAAACTTTTCAAAAGTTACAATGGTGTCTTTGTCAATTATAACAATTTACTTTGGCTATGCTGTTTTCAACAAGAGTGTTACTGTTAGGTACTTAATGTTTTATGCAAAAGTTTTTATTCAGCACTTTAATTCCAAGGAGTTTTTTTTATTTAACAAAAGTTCTCTCTGGCAAACGGTGACGCATTGTTACTTATAAAGTGGTTCTCAGAACATCAACAATTTCTTTTTAAATAAAGGAATGTGAAAAAAACAACAAAAAAGCTTTATGAAATCTTCTATGTATAGGGTTTCTGCACGGGTATGAAATTTTATTACTTTCTAGCTGACCCGGTGAACTTCGTGCCGGCAAGTATTTGTCTTCGTTTTTTCTATATAAACCTTATACTGGAAAGAAAAAGACAAAAAAAATCCAAATCTAATGCAGGCCTTCGGAAGGCGCATACATACCTTTGGCGATTCAATTTTTATTATATAGAAGATGATATAATAATCAGATTAAGGCCCACTTACTCCGAAATTCTTAATTTAAATGAAGGCTAAATCGTGTTTAAGACATCATTCCATCTTTGTCTATTGATTGAAATCATAAAAGTAATGATAATATGAGGCTTAAACATGATTATTTTTTTATTAAGAACTTTGGTGAAATTCTGCCTTTTATTTAATTATTTAGAAATGCCTAATAACTTTATTATGCATTCTTAATTTAAAGAATTTATTACGTACGTCATACGCGCTAGACAACGTATTTCAATTGTTTTGGCAATGTTTGAAATGAGAAAACGTTAGTCTAACATCAACGTACATAGGAACTCATATACCATTCCCTGTATGGTAATACGCACTCCTACACAAACTTACAGCTGTCAGTATCAGCCGGCCTTATTGCTCTGTTTTGAATCACACGCCACACGCAATAAGTTAAAGGGGCACAATATGCAAGCTCTTTGTTTAGGATGCCTGAAATATTGGGTAATTAGATACTAGGAATGTTTATACAGCCGTGGTGAAGTATAACTAACCACGAGTTTGTTCGCTTGGAAACAAGTTGTTGTTTGATCAAAACTCCGGTCGTCACGTATTGTGGATTTTAAGACAATGAAATTGCTATTAAGGTAAGATCGCATTAAGCGCATCTACGTTGCAGTGCGAAAAGAAACGACTCAACTCTTTATACAACATCTTAAGCGGCAAACATATTTTTTTTAAGACCTGCATAGAAGTTTGTCTTTGGTTTGACTCAAGATGTTTGCCGCTACCTATAATGTTTTGTCAGACTATCATACTGCTGCAGTTAATGCGGCATACTCAGTATGCATAAAGAATCGCGTCTCGTCGCGTGTCGGTTAACTTGGGCAGTAGATGTTTTTGTATGTATACTGCTACTGCACGGGTTTCATTGTATATTATTATTATTAAGGTTTATGCTCAAAATGTTTGCCGAGTTGTATACCTGTTAGCCTTTCAGCAATTCTGAGTAAAATGAAGGAAACAGGTAAAACGGAATGTAATTTGTGTTACTATAAAGATCAGTTGGGTTAAGCCACTCATATATGAATTATCAAAAAGCCGTTTAAGGACCAATATCAACATATGCATTTTTTGTAAGATTTGGAGGCGCAAAATTTTGCTGCTTTTTAAAACAGCAAGGCAAGATTCTATAAAATAGAGCTTATAGCACCAAAAATTAATGTATGGTGGAATCCGTTTATAATGACATGGAAAGGAATTGACAAACACGTCATAATAATGGAGGTCATACAAAGCGTTTTGTGAAAAAAAAATGTAAATCTGTTCTTATGCATTTTAATAGCGAAACATAGTACATATATTAAATCAAAATAAAAATTGCACGTAATAAGTACTAGTTTTTTTAATGTAAGTAAGTAATCTGTATTTTTTGTCTGCTTTTGTATTTCCATTTTATTGTTATAACAGTCTCTATTGTTGGCGGCG